AAGAAGACGCGCATCATCCCGCGCCACCTGCAGCTGGCCATCCGCAACGACGAGGAGCTCAACAAGCTGCTGGGCAAGGTCACCATCGCGCAGGGCGGCGTCCTGCCCAACATCCAGGCCGTGCTGCTGCCCAAGAAGACCGAGAGCCACCACAAGGCCAAGGGCAAGTAGAGGCCCGCTTTCTCGGCGGCAACTCCAGCAGGTCCACTCGAAACCAAAGGCTCTTTTCAGAGCCACCCACCTTTTCACTAAAAGGGCTCGCGTGTTCCTTAATTTAGGATAACTGAAAGTGACATTTAACGCAGTTGGTCGGTAGATGTCAGTAGTTACGCACCCTAGAGAGAGGAAAATAACATCCACTTGAAAGTTACAATTCAAACAAAAGTTACCTTCAGCCCATCAAAACGGATACAGAGATACTTTCTCACAAGTAATTGAGGCCTGCAGTGCAGCCGGCTAAAACCGTGAGAAAACAATCGGGGGGAGGACAATGCTTGTCCAAAGGTGAATAGTTGCAAAAGTCTACAAACTAAGGAGTAATAAAGCCGCCTTCAATCTTCAAAGGACTTGTTTTGCATCTTAATGGCACAAACCATCTGCAGTTAGCCCCTCCCCCGTTGCTGGGCCCTAATCACTAGGAAACAGGAATGCAAAACTACATGCCCCGGAGTCCTGTCCTTGAGGCCGAGCTTAATACTGGCTTCAGAGGGACTCGAAAAAGCCACACACTGTAATCTTGTACCATGTACAAATCAGGATATTTTTCTTAACCTCGTGTCACACACGCCTCTGGAAATTGTAAAACGTAGTGGAGTGTTTTTAGATGAGGATGGTATAATTACTGGAAAGTAAATATGTGTTCATGTAGTTATCAAGTGTGAAATTACTTCAGAATAACTCCTCATATTAGTCAATTACTAATCGTCTTGGTGCATTTAGAAAATCTGCAAAAACCTTAGAGGATAACTAAAAGATCTCTAAATTTAAACAGAGAAATCAAGAAATTGATGCGAAATTAACCTTTTGAACTTGAATGAGGCTAAAAAAATCAGTTGGCCAATCACATCTAGCGCGCGTCTTTTCAAAAAGATGAAAGGAAAGCCAGTTTCAGGTGCCAGAATTTAACATTTTTAGTCAGCATACAAGAGACATCGTTGTAATAGTTATACTAAATTCTGCCGAGAAAGGTCAAAGAAAATTGTAAAGAAACGGCACGAAGACTAGTGGAGAGAAAGGATTGAAAACATCAGAAGTTGAAAGGTTGCGAGAATGGAAGGTGTTAATTTTCTGTCTGAAGCATAGGTGGCTCATGTGATCAGGAAGTGAGCGCCGCTTCCAATACAGTCCCCGCGAGACGTGATGGACAGATGCCCAGGCCAATCAGAGCGGGATTCTCATTATATATACTGGTGCAGAGGTCCCGCACACTATACCAGCTATCTGGTTTCTATAAGTCGGTATGGCTCGTACAAAGCAGACGGCGCGCAAGTCCACCGGCGGGAAGGCCCCGCGCAAGCAGCTGGCCACCAAGGCGGCCCGGAAGAGCGCGCCGGCCACCGGCGGCGTGAAGAAGCCGCACCGCTACCGGCCCGGCACCGTGGCCCTGCGCGAGATTCGGCGCTACCAGAAGTCCACGGAGTTGCTGATCCGCAAGCTGCCGTTCCAGCGGCTGGTGCGCGAGATCGCGCAGGACTTCAAGACGGACCTGCGCTTCCAGAGCTCGGCCGTGATGGCGCTGCAGGAGGCGTGCGAGGCGTACCTGGTGGGGCTGTTCGAGGACACCAACCTGTGCGCCATCCACGCCAAGCGCGTGACCATCATGCCCAAGGACATCCAGCTGGCGCGCCGCATCCGCGGGGAGCGGGCATAAATCTCGTTCCTCCACTGGCATGTGCGCTACCCCCAAAGGCTCTTTTCAGAGCCACTTCCGTTCTCACCGAGAGTGTCTGTTTCACTAATGGCTTTGCCCCTAAAGAACGTACCCTTGGGGCAGACCAGAGGAAAGGGGCGAAGGGATAATGGGTTTATCGCTCAAACTACGGCCACCTCATTTTTCTCACGCAAAGTAGGTGTAAATGTAATCGCAAAGCCTCCCATATCGTGTGTGCTCATACTGTCTACTTAAGGAAACTTGAGGTAACAGCAATTGAAGCAATAGTGTCACCGCAGCGATCAAGTTACCACTTGCACCCTTGAGGAATCCAGGTGGAAAGAAAATCCCAAGGAAAGCAGCTACAAACCATGTAAATGGCACTCAGTGTACCTCCACATCGGACAGTAAACTGGCAGCAGAATCCTGGTTAACTGATTTATCCACATCTCAGGAAGGCTAGGATTTTGAGCATTTCCTTATAAGAATTGTGTTTCTCATTGTTTAGTAGCACCTGGTAACCCTGCAGGATAAAATCTGAAATGTTACCCTCTGTACCCACCCCAAGGTCTGATACTGTAAAATCACCAAATAAGCCTTAGCTTTTATTCCCCAGCTTCCAGGAGCCTGGCAGTGCAAAGTGCCTGAGGAGCATTCCACAGGCATAAGGCTTTCCCACCACGGATTCAACTCAACTCTCTTCTAAGAGCCACCCACGGGCACACCAAAAAGGACTGTTGCCCTGTAATCTTGACTGGTATTTAAGATTATGCTCAATTACTTGAGTCTAACAGTTAAGTTCCTTTCAAGTGCTTTTCTTCGGTTCTCTTGACAGGCTAGTGCCTCAATTTATACATACTGCCAATTTGTGTACAGCTGGTGTACATTATCCTCCCTAATACAGAAAATGGAAAACAATACTTTGCTCATCTAAGCATTCAAGAAGACTACCTGACAAACTGGCATGTGTACATTGTCATTTCTGCCCTTCAAGTTTGTGAAATGAGTGAAAAGGCTTTCCTTAAATTTTAATAAATTTTTTTTCTGGAAACTAGATCACTACTGCAGACATTACCCCATCTGCTTGTGCTCATGTGCTATACGTGCCTGTGAGTGGGGTTCACGGGGAGGAGGACCTAGCACTAATTTTTTGTAATATTTTGTAAATATACAAAATTTAGGTTGATGCTAATATTGCACCAAATTAAAGTGCTTTTTATTTGAATTAGCACCTTAAGCAAAAGAAAGTGCTGAGTATCCCCTCTCAGCAATCAGCCTTCCTCTGGAAAGCAAGAGAAATATTTGGAGAGAAGTGCCCTTGCATGCTCCCCACCCCCGCTGATCCAATGGAAGGTAATGTCTACACAGACTGGTATTCTTACGTGTGTAGCTCCCTTTTCTCCTTCTGGGTTGGGGAACTAAACTATTAATCGGTCAGGAAGGGCCCACAACAGAGGTGGACCTATCTACAGTGATCAATCCTCTTGCTGGCTGGGAAGGGCACCCTGTCCTGGAAATATGCAGTCAGTATACTTCTCCAAATAAGTCTTTCATTTGTGATTATATGAAGATTTTATTCGGGGGCAGTAATTCTAATTACGTGGACACAGATATGCCATATCTCTCAAAACACCCCATGTGCTGAGCAGCCATGGTCTGGCAGCCTCCCACTTAAGCTCTTTCTGGCCTTTCAGAAAGCTTTCATCACTCCATACAAGGAACTGGATTTTGCTATAGGAATGGCACACAAAAATGAATATTCGGTGCCACCAAACCTGCCTCATGTTAATGGCTAGGTGGTGATCCAAGTAAAATGAGATCACCTGGGTAGTAATGACGATCAAGAATTTCAGAAAGCATTGGATGAATGTGCATGTGTGAACTCAGGAGATAAGTCTGGGATGGACATAGACTTGGGAATCATTAGTATAGAAAAGAATTGACAGAGTGGCCTGCAGATCTCTTCTGGTTCCTCCCATCTCTTCTAATCTCTTGTCATTTGCTTGCACATATCAAAGCCCTGAGTCTGCTGATGCTTTGTGTTGAATTCCTACTTTCCACTAATTCACACCTTCTTTAATCCTCAGACCATAGGTTACCTCACAGACCTTCCTACTCCTATTCCCTCCCCTAACATCCTGTATCTATTTTTCTTGATATGTGCTTTGTGTGTTACTCATTAGTTTCTCTGAACCGTATTTTACAAAACTATCCTTAATGCATGGTATCTAAGTATGTAATAAGAATGTTAAAATGACCAAGATTGACTAAAACTGGACATCTATTCTGGCAGTGTGGTACCTATGTCATCAGGTAGTATCTCCAAGTACTTTTAGTAATTACTACATTCAAAATAATCACATCAAATGTTAAAGGTTATGATGAAACCTGTCATTTAAGCTCATTTCCAGTATGGGCCTGGATGACCATCTCAAGTAAACGTAATTGGTGTTTTAGACCCAATATAACTTTGAAACTGGTCTAGTTTAAAACAAACAAAACGTCAACTCATTTCCACAGGTTCCTACATACCAATTGTGAAATGAGGACAATGGAGGTCAGGGAGTCAAGACTGGAGCCAAACTACGTTGAATAAGACGTAAAGTAGTTGCAAGTGTAACAGGTCGTGCTACCTTTTCTGTGACTGTAAAAGTGGCTCTAAAAAGAGCCTTTTGTTTGTTTCCATCTTGATTCTTACTTAGCCTTGTGGCTCTCGGTCTTCTTGGGCAGCAGCACGGCCTGGATGTTGGGCAGGACGCCACCCTGCGCGATGGTGACCTTGCCCAGCAGCTTGTTGAGCTCCTCGTCGTTGCGGATGGCCAGCTGCAGGTGGCGCGGGATGATGCGCGTCTTCTTGTTGTCGCGGGCCGCGTTGCCCGCCAGCTCCAGGATCTCGGCCGTCAGGTACTCCAGCACGGCCGCCAGGTACACGGGCGCGCCGGCCCCGACCCGCTCGGCGTAGTTGCCCTTGCGGAGCAGCCGATGCACGCGACCCACGGGGAACTGCAGGCCGGCCCGCGACGAGCGCGTCTTGGCCTTAGCGCGCGCCTTGCCGCCCTGTTTTCCGCGTCCGGACATGATAACGAAGAAGCCGCAGCGCCGACCCGAGTCTGAGGCGAGCCGCCCAGGGCGCCCCTTCTTATAGTCGTGCCGAGCGGACTTGCAGCCCTTTCGCTTAAACCAATGGAGCCCGGGGTTTGAAATACGCCGATTCTGACTGGCCGACGTTCGCGTGTGACGTTTCCAGCCTCGCCGCCAATCAGCCGCGACTTTGTTCATCGCCTCCTTTAAGAGGCTGGGGCGCGCGCGGCCGCTCGCAGCTTCACGTTCCGTCTCTCCTGCGTTTTTCCGTTTGGTCCCGCTGCTCCCCACGACCATGCCCGAGCCGGCCAAGTCGGCGCCCGCCCCGAAGAAGGGCTCCAAGAAGGCGGTGGCCAAGGCGCAAAAAAAGGACGGCAAGAAGCGCAAGCGCAGCCGCAAGGAGAGCTACGCGGTGTACGTGTACAAGGTGCTGAAGCAGGTGCACCCGGACACGGGCATCTCGTCCAAGGCCATGGGCATCATGAACTCATTCGTCAACGACATCTTCGAGCGCATTGCGGGCGAGGCGTCGCGCCTGGCGCATTACAACAAGCGCTCGACCATCACGTCCCGGGAGATCCAGACGGCCGTGCGCCTGCTGCTGCCCGGGGAGCTGGCCAAGCACGCCGTGTCCGAGGGCACCAAGGCCGTCACCAAGTACACCAGCTCCAAGTGAGCGCCTGTGCAGCACCCTGGAACCCAAAGGCTCTTTTCAGAGCCATTCAGACTTCGAAAGAGAGCTGTTACTCACTTTTTACATTGGGTGTTTTTTATTTGCTGCATAGAAAGAACTTAGTTTCCTGGTATTCGTCTTGTCAGAAACTACTTCCACTAGAACACAGCTGATACTTGTGAAGTATCAGGTTCAATATCAGACAAACGTAGTACCGACAAATGAAGTATACCCTTTAAGTACCTTTCCACCAAAAACAATTCTATCTTAAAATGTCAACCTGGCAAAAGTTTTCCTTAATACTGCTCGGAGCTCTTTTTAATTTTAAACATGTATCTTACTAATTAATAAAGCACTTGGAACATTAAGAATGTAGAAATCGTATTCCCTTTGAGGTGGGGAAAGCTGACCCTGGTTCTCCTTCCCTTGCTTGCCCTGTGTTTGGATTTCTCAAATATTGAGTTAGAAAGGCAGAAGACGAGAACAAACCTGGGAACCCCAGTCCTCTCTGAGTCAGTCAGGTGCTGGTGGCAGCGACAGCCAATCCCGACGCTGGGCGGCTAGTTTGAAGTGAACCACGTTTCTCTGGGATTCTGTCCTCATTTGAGAATTCTGGGATTTGTGGGAGGAACTGCCATTTTATCCACTTTCGCATATTTCTGATAGGAGTTCTTTTGGGGAGGGATTAGCTTGATTCCATACCTTTCAGGTCAAATCCTTTCCTTGTTTTCTCTCTGTGTCTCTTGTATGTACTGTTTCTCTGTTAATTGGAAGAAATTTTAAAAGAAAATTAGAACACAAGGTCCATTCCCTACCCCAATTCAGGAAGCCAAAATCCATCTTTCCATTTTAAGCCCTAAGGAATGGCATACATATTTAAAAATAATATGGTCTTTGCCCACAATCAGCATGGAAACCTTCCGCATTGAGTTATTAGCTGAAGGTTTTTTATGATACCCTTTAGTTACAGTACTCCAGTGGCTCAACAATTTCACTCCTGGGTGTTTACATGAAAATATTCTGCACACATGAAACTGGACACCTACAAGAATGGAGCAGTCCTATTTTTAATAGCAAAATACTAGAAACAAACATGTTTGTGGCCATGTCACACAATGGGATAACATATAGCTGAGAAAATTATTGCAATCCACAGCGCTTGGTTGAGGTTCAGAAACACAAATCTCAGAAGGTTCATATGTAGTACCATTTTATAAAGCTCAAAAATAAAACCAAATTATTCACTATTTAAGAGATGGCTTTATGAATACATGTTTTAAAATATCAGGCAGTGGGTACCTCCATGATACAGGTAGGGAAAGGGAACAGAGAAAGGCTCAGATAAATAACATCAGTAGCGTAAAACAAGCACCAAGCATCAACTATTTTGTCATAAGAAAATCCTATAAATGAGAACCCTAAACCATTTTTGTATCTATATCTTCTTGAATATAAAGCGCTGAAGAAGCATTTTGAGCAAGCTGTTCAACATAATCTGCTGTTTTGATAGAATTGCTTAAAGAATATAGTGGCTGTAATTGCCGTGGCTATGATAGAAATAACTGCTGCAAGGCCTGCTACCATGAGTC